CCCCGCTTGGTGTCCTGTTCCCCATCCGTGCTTTCTGCCTTGGACAGTGCAGTCTTCATCCTCCGAGCGGGGTCCAGTCCTCCAGTCCTCCCCGGTCCCCAACCCTCTGACGGTACCCTGTCCTGTTTCCAATCCGAATCCCTTATTCTGAAGTGTGCTCGGTTACCCCTCATTTGCCGGACGGTGCCCTCTCCCCCCTTCCTTCTCTCCTGGACGGTGCCTTCTCCCCGTATCCCCCAGCCCTGTAAGGCGGCTGTGCCCGCCCCATCCCTGGACCGTATTCTTTTTTCTCCGCCTCCGACACTCCTCTCCCAGCTAGGATTCAGACAGTTCCGCCCCTCCCTGCACCGTGCTGAAGACAGTGACCATCTGCTGACCCCACCCCCGGATTTCACCTACCGCACCGCATTCCCCTCCTCCAGGCGTGACGTCACCCCGTGGCGGTGCCCCCCCTGCCCCCCCCCGAGGTTCTGTCTAGTGGACCAAGCAGTCGGCCTGGGCTGTCACCTGCTGTGGTCCAGTGCGGCCCCGCCCCCCGCCTTTACCTGGACCATTTTCATACTGGCACTCCATGACCCCCACCCACTTGGTTCTGAAACCTTGGCTGTGCTGTGGACCATTGGGTGGGGCACCTGACCCTGGGGAGAAACCTGCCATTGGAGAGTCGGTGCAGGTGGGCCCAGGGGACCACCTCCCCTTCCCCCCCCAAAGAGCTGGGGGCAGTGCTATTTCCGAGAGTAAAGACGGATCCTTTCTTGGTGCTGAGACATGGTGGTCCATGCCCACCTGAGAGGAGGGAGGAGAGACCATGGCAGCAAATTATCAGGGGTGGGTCCTGGGGTTCCTGTGAGCCCCGGGTGGTGGCACTGGTGGGTGGTGGCTAGGGGCTGCACTGCTGCTAGCAGGTGGACAGGAGCTGGGCTCTGCTTCTGCTGGGGAACCCTAGGTCTAGGTCAGCGCACTCTTGAAAAGCCGTGCTCCATCCCTTCCATCAGTGCCGGTAACACTGGGCCCCCCCCCCCCCCCCCCCCCCAAGGCGTGGCCTTATGTCTGGTTACCTGGTTATAGTCTTGGCAGACCCTTTCCTATCAGAGTTCTTTCTGGGGAGAACTTAGAGGGGTTGCTGAGACCCCCCCCTCTGGTCCCTGCAATCCGTTTTTGCTGAGTCTGCCCCTGGACCAGGTGAGGGGGACCCTGGACCTCTGACTGCACCCATCAGTAACCATGTGTCTTTCCAGGAGAACAAGGGTTCTGTGGAGATCATGCGGAAAGACCTGAATGACGCCCGGGACCTGCACGGCCAGGCTGAGTCTGCTGCTGCCGTTTGGAAGGCAAGTGTCCTCCAGCCTGGGGTCTGCCCAGGGAGAGGGTGTGGGTGTGAGCCCTGACCCCATTTGGCAGGGATGCAGCGGAGTGATGCTGGCTGTGCAGCCAACCCTTCTCCCCAGGTGGGCAGAGGTGAGGCGGGAGGCCCCAGGGTTAGCCCTGGGACACAGGTGTCCCTCCGTGCTGTCCACCTGCCTGCCCTGCAGGGACACGTGATGGACCGCAGGAAGAAGGCCCTGACCGACTACAAGAAGCTTCGGGCCTTCTTTGCCGAGGAGGAGGAGCGTTTCCTGCAGGAGGCGGATAAAGAGGAGGGGTCCGCAGAGGACGAGGACACAGACCCGGCCGAGCGCTTTGGGTCACTGCTGCAGGCTGTCTCGGAGCTGGAGAGGAGGCACCGCAACCTGGGGCTCAGCATGCTGCTTCAGGTGGGCCCCCTGTTGTGTCCAGGCCCCAGAGGAGGGTGCCAAGGCCCTGCGGGGTTGGGGGCAGGCATCAGCAGGTGGCTGGGGCGCCTTTGGCCTGGGTGTTCTCACAGCAGCTTCCTCTCCCTCCACACCCTCCTGCAGTGATGTCCTGCCCTCTGCTGGCTCCAGACGGTAACAGCTCCATCCACCCTGGCCTGTCGCCCAGCAGCAACTCCATCACCTCCTGGACCCGCAATGACCTTTACCCATGAGGGTCTGCACCGAGGTGCACACGCAGGATGCATACCACGGGTGGCCACCTTGGGTGGGCCAAGACTGCCCCTAGCAGTGTCCCTGTTCCCTTTCCCTGTGGGTATTCGTGGTCCCCAGGCTGTAACCATTTTACCGTAGAGACCTGTAGCTACTGGTGGGTACTGTTGACCCCAATGTATCACGACTCTTCATAAAGTTCTTGTCGCTGTCACTGAGTCTCATTTGCCTGGGGTCTCCGTGGCCCACGGCGGTTGCCAGGCAGCCCACATTGTGCAGGCCTGGCACCCACCCCATTTAAATTCCACCCACGATGGGGCCGCTCTGTTGGACATGCAGACCAGACCCCTGCACATGTGTGGGGCATCCAGTTAGGGTGCAGGGAAGAGAAGGCTCACGGCACCTGGAGGGGAGGGCAGGCAGGCAGGTCGACTGTTTGTGGCTAGAGCTCCCTACAGCATGTGTCCTGGGGCAGAGGACCAGTGCGGGTGCAGGTCACCCCCAGGCCTGCACGTGGACGCCATGTTCCCTCTCGCTCTGCCTCTGGCTCCCTTTGCTTCAGGTTTTCTCCAACAGACAAATGTGGCAGAGTTGTGACTTAGTGGTAGCATCATCATGTACATTAGGGCAGGCAATAGTGCCGCAGCACAGAGATGGGGATGTGGGGTCCTAGAATGTTGACACGGGGCCATTAAGGATGGCTGAGGCTGGGAGTCTTCCTAGATGGTGCAGACTTAAGGCCTGTAGGTGCATTCGCACATTCCCAGATGAGGCCTCAGCACTATTGCCCCTCTGTTTCTGAGAGTTTGGGTGTGGCTGGTGTTCATGGAGCCCAGTAGAGACGGCTTGCTCCAGCCGGTTTGCCTGGCATCCCTCCTCCCATCTGCCTCCTCCCCTGCCCAGAAGGTCTCCAGGGACGTGCTGTATCCACACTGCTGCAGGAAGAGGGCTCCCGCAGATGGGACTTCTCTCTGATGGGCTCTCTGCCTCCGCTGAGTGACCCTGGCCAGCTGCCTGCCTGCCTTCTCTGTGGAGATGTGCTGGACAAACCGTGGGACCATGGCCAAGTAACAATAATCCTGACTCCTCAGACCCAGGGACAGTGCTAGAAGTGTCCCACTCTAGATGTGGGGTGGACATAGGGAGGGCACTGTAGGGAGCCTGTGTCCAGCAAGCCAGGAACATTCTAGTGTGGATGGCCTGCAGTTGCAGCCAGGCCCACTGCCCACTTGGTAGTTTCTCGAAGTGCCCCGCTGGCCTCCAGGGCCTCGTGACCCACCCCAACTGCCTGCTCCCTGCTGGCACCCCCCCCCCCCCTCGTGCCCCTATTCAGCCCTGTGGAATAGTGTTGCTCCTCCAGATTTGTGCGGCCGGCCAGTCCCCTGTCTTCGAGTCCGCGCTCAAATGACATCTTACAGAAACTGTACAATATCTTCACAAGCTCCTGCGTGTGAGGACAAGCAAAGCAAGGTCTCGTGTGGGCTCTCAGTGGTCCTCGTGTGTGTCCCTCCGTGTGATCCAGGTCCGTGCAGGGGCAGGAGCCCGAGGAGAGCAGGCAGGGCTCTGCACAGAGGCCCCGAAGTGGAGGTTTGTCTGCTAGAAGACCGGGGGCACTTTGAGGAAACTGGTTCCTTTGTGCAGGGCCCAAATGCTTTTCCCTCTGATCCCCCTTATGTATCCCAGGTGGACCTGCTTGTTTCCAGTTTCAGGGATGTTGAGTCTGGCGATCCCC